AAATATAAAATAAATGCAATATCGGATCTAGTGTTTATTATACTTGGACCATTTTTATAAATTATATATTACATTGATTAATATTAATAATTATACATTTCTCAAGGGTTTCATATTACCATAGCCATCATATCTTCCAAACTCATCATCATAAACCATTTTGATGAATCAATATTTTCAGAAAAATTATCTTCGAAATAATTTATACTTAGTTGAAAAAGGGGCTTTTCATTTTAAAATAGAAGTTTGTATTACCTCGGGACACTTATCCTTAAGTAGTATAGAGTATTATAAGAATGTTTAAGTGTTTTTAAAGATTCTAAAATCTGAATTGGAAGAAACTTATTGTTAAAGAAAAAAACGAAAGGGAACATGATTGGTAAAACATTTTTTGTAGGCTGGTAGTTACAATCGCCGGTAATTGTTAGCACATCGTCTGTTTACCTGTGCAAAATACCGTACATCATTTGTGTATCAAGAAATTAAACAATAGAAAGGTAAAAAAAGATTGAAAAGTACATAAATTATTGTACAATATATGTTGAAAGAATTGTTTAAGACTTGAGAATTAATAATTGTTATTATTCACATACTTAATATAAAAATAAAAATAAATGGATTATTCAGTTAAATTTTAAATAATAGTCATAATTTTAATAAATATGCGTTTATATTACGATAAAAATCTATGTTTTGGTCTTTGTTATGACCCACCCGTATACCTTAGTTGCGTTTTATGTCGGTAAATTTATTTTATTAAGTAAATAAATACCTATTTAATGTTTGAAAATAGAATATTAAAATTTTTAAATTTTAAGCTGATAGTAAACTAATTATGTTTTTGGGTTTACCTCATCTCTTCTAGTTCTATTGTTAAATTTATTGATGTGTAAATGAAGAACGATCGTTATATGACGTAAGGTATTTAGGCGATGTGTACTTAAACGATGTATAATTCAAAAATTGTACGATGCACAATAATTATTGTCTTACAAAAATGATTGAAATGAATAATTTTATTGCGAATTATCAGCAACATTGTTCGGCATAACACTACAACAGTTTTATACTTAGGAGCGAACTAATTTTTTTCAACGTGAGCATATCGTGTGTAGATTTCAATTTTCTTTTCATATGAAAGTAACATTTCTTTGTTTGCTACCCGTCTAACCCAACCTATTTCTTATTTAGTGGAAGTACATAAATTACTCACGGCAACTATATGATTATAAATTATATAAACTCATGTTGAGGAATTATTGCAAATGTAATTGAAGATTTTCTTACACAAGGTTTTGACATTTATTTTAATCTTTAGATATCGATTTTTCTTGATTTTATATTATTTTGGATAAGTGTAAAGAGATTAGCTTTTTTACTAAAATTTCAAAGTATAAGTATTAAATATCTAAATGTTAAAAACACATTTTTCTTTATTTGTAACTATTTAAACTGTATTAACACTTTTGAAGTAGCAATTGCGAGTGATATTCCGTTAATATGTGGTTCGTTATTTTAATAATTTAGACCACAAAGGCGTAAATGGTTGTTAATAAAAAATTGTTCGTTGAACTTTGTAACAGAGTAGCCGTCGTCACATAAAACGGTCCTTTTCAGGACCACCAATCACAACACAGTACATACAAAAGGACACCATCGTAGGGATTTAGCGGCGAATTCGAAGCTCTTCTAGTCACCTAACCTCCCTAAGTACGACTATGGGTAGGGGAGACTATAACGAAATCAGCAACACCCGTCTTATAACAATATAACTCCAAAACTGCGCAAATAGTGAGGTAAACTGTACCGATGGTAAGCATGGACACGCACGGCGGCACACCTGTGGTTTACGATTCGGTACTAGATCATATTATATCAACCGGTCACATTTACGGAGCAGCATTATTTATTCTTCCAACACTACAATCGTTAATATTTATAATCAAAGATGAACGACGAATTAACTGACCAGTGGATTATAGAACTATTTCGCGGTGACCAAGACACTCATTGACGAGACGGCAATTGACGACTTCAGCAGCATTCTATACGACTAGAGCACGGAGTCAATATATGCTGAACCTTGCGTACAATTACCAGCGGCTCATATGTGGTTTTATATTGCATATAGTCGATCTATTATGACGACTGATAGAAGGAGATTCTTCTTAAAACCATCAGTCTAACCCCACCCCTAGTGTGCCTACTCAGGTATTCACTATACGAGATTACCAAATTAACACGACTTACACCAAGGCCGCGAAAAATTGATTTTAACTCGTTCACACTTGTTCTTGTATAATTTTTATAATGACGTACTAACTTTTATATTTTATTGGTCTCGCTTATTCAAGCCTAACTACTCGGCCCGGATATAAATTTTCCCACATACATTGTTATATATTTTTTGACATTAATTAAGAAACAAGTGTGATATTAAAGAAAAACAATCAGAGTATACTTATACACGATCACGAGCCATCGGATATCAACGGACCTGTAATCAACGTTCGACATTATTTTAAACTAGCATTTAAATAAAAAGTATTCTGCATAAAAATACGAATAAGCGACTGTTAGCCGTTAAAAAGCCCAAATATTTGTAAGCGATTACATTTTTTTCTCCATAAGAAACGTAGTAATACAAAACCATTTCAACGGAGTAATGAATTCTTTTTTGCATAAATTGATTGTTTTTTGATAAAATACTTGACTTATATATTGATATATTTAATTATATCGTAACATGTAATTATCAAAAATGAATTATAATTGTGACCGCATACGAATTCAAAGAACACGATCTGGTAAAAAAATAGTTATCTTTTGACCAGTCTTTTTAAATGAATATAAATATTATATAATATTTAACGGTCACACACACATAAGTGTTTATCCGAAACCCGTACACAAGACTCGAGCCAGCTCGATTTTATAAGACCATATATTATATTATGTATAATATATCTATCGCTTGGTCTATACATCCGGTCATTATATAAAATGTTTCCTAAATTGATATATATATATATATATATATATATATTACATAAAAAGAATTCCCCTTTTGTCCATATCATGGAACGTTTCCAAGTCCTAGTTATATTATTGATATTTGCAGTGCGCCTGCTGTTTTAACATGATTTCGTGTTATTATAAGGTTAGGCATGCATTTGATTTTTTTAGGGGCTATTTTTATTTTTCATACGCGACGTGCATCACATAGATTAGGTACTTATGTACATATAGTGGGATTATAAATAAATCAATAATATGGTTTCTATACATTAACGTTGTCGTCGTTTTATTCGTATAATTGGTACATCGAGATTTTTTCGATATCATAATAATACGCGTTCCTATAAATTGTATATATTATGTAAATATGGAATACAGTGTAGTATAAATTGTACGGAATACACAATGATATAGGTATTATATTTTATATTTTGAACGAAACTGGAAATATCTAAAAGCTAGATATGTATACAATAATACAATATTATTAAATCGATATCCTACTGAGTGGATATTTTGAGCGGTATTCGACGAATGTATTAATATAATACTAGTATGTATACGCTAATATATATATTATTGTGTGTGTTATATTATATTGCTATTTTACGGTTAGACAATCAGAAGTAATACGATTGTACCTGGACTTTGCGTAGGTGTTTTTAAAACTTTTTTCACAGTCTAACAAATATTTTTACGACCTTCAAATAACAACCTGTCAAATCGTTATTACACTATAATTTTATTAAATCTGGTAAAGTATTTGAGTAATTTTTGCTATAAATATTTTTTTTTGAATTGGAAATATAAGTTTTTTAAACAATAATTTTAAATAAAAAATTATCACTATTCAATCAAAAAGAAATATTATATTAAATCTATCGTCGTTATAATAAGTATCAAAATGATATCGTACTTTATAAAGCAAGGCGTAATGCATCGAATATTATTACAGAAAAGTGATTTAAAATTTGATTTAAATAAATTTAAATGGTTAATTCCTAGTATAATCAATAGTTGACTTGATAATGGTACAATATTAAAAAGTATCGTATTTTAATATATAGGGGAACATAGGATGTCTGCTCGAACTATTTGCTTAGTAATATCTGATTTCATATAAGTATTATTTTATACAAAAAAACAAAAAATTGTGGTTTGGATTTTAAATTTTTTATTTAAAAACTTGCTTTGATTTATTATCATACCTATTTATTCATATTTCAAGTAATAAATAAAATAAATATTCGTTATCAAAACTTGATATCGTTTACAAACTACAAAGTATTATAAATTATAATTATCGAAATTTTTTCTTGATTAATAATAGTAATATTTTCTATTTTATTGATTTAATATTATATATATATATATATATATATATTCATGAAACGAGCATGAAATAACTGGAAGGTCGTGGACAGGTCGAAGCACACATCTGCGTGGAACATAATTACATAAATCATTTAAGCACACCCTAACTGTGCTCCTATGATTGTATACATTTGTGTAGTAATATTACGAAACGTACTAGTACAATGCGAAAGTGCTCACCGCGTAGATTCATGTAATAATATACGTATCACTAGTTACTACATAACGTATAATAAAATGAACGCAATGAAAATATTACATTTGATGAAGATGTAATAAAACAACAATAAAGTAAAACAAATCGTTTATATAATTTTTTTATTATCAACAGCATTCTATACTTTATTTTTATTTGTTAAAATGTGCATTATATTATATATATATATATTTATATATACATATATAATAATATATATATACATATATTATATATATACATATATAATAAATAATATATATATATATATTGTACAAAATATGCAAGCTCAAATATATTGTTCACATGTACAATTTTATGTTATTATTATATTATATAATATAAAATTAATTGTAATAATAATAGTAATAATAATAATAATAATAATAATAATAATAATAATAGTATCGTATTCGCATATATCTAAATCAACACTCAATAATTTTATTAATTTTATTATATATTATATAATTTTACTGTGTTTCAAAAATGAAAACTTAACAACTCGTAATTATATGACTGTACATGTTTTTCACTAACGTACACGTTAAAACACATAATATTGTATAAATACGTATATATGCGTTTAGTATAATAATATGTAATACATAATTACTGCAGTTTTTCGATTTGAACTGAAGTAACTCGAGTTTTACGTGACGTGATGTATTTGTCGAGCTCGTGTGTACCTATGTACAAGTCTGCTCAACTCCGCAGAGCTATACCACTGGATGACGATTGCGGTACGATAAAAACGATTTTAATGGTAATAAATAATAATAATCATAACAATTACAATAATAAGTATACATTATATTATTATGTTGTATTATTATGTGTTGCATATGCAGTTTGTGCTGAGGTACACGTGTTCAGCAGCTCGTCTCCGAGTATTGTCATAATCCGCTCGGTTCGCCATGTAATGCTTTTGACGCTTCCATTATTGCTTCGTCCAGCCGTTCTACTCGGGTGCTTATTGAGTGGTCGCTGTAAAATCACAACAAAAATGGCGTGACATTAATAATTTTTATATTTTTTACTATAATTATTTGGGTACTTTAGTAAGTATTAAAAACGACCACACGTTACGTGGTTAGCTTGCTCAATTGAATTTGTAAGTATTATACACGAGATAAATAATAGTATGTTATACATTTACATGTCGATATTTTTTACCAATACCTATATTATTGTATATTAATAGTAGACGTTAGTCTTAGTAAATTATGATTATAACGGTTCTTAGAGAATTTTGGCGGGTGTCCTATACTGTTTCCCATAAATACGCGATAAAGAGATTTCGGTTTTTGTGATTTGTAAAAACTGTTTAATAAACACCATTAGTTATTCGTAAAATTTATTTTCAAATATAAAGTGTTTTCATATAGTTAAAAATACCTTCGTTATTGATATTATACACTGTGTAAAGGGTGAACAATAAAGTTAATTATAATGTGAAATTATTCATGTTCTTAGAAATATATAAATATATATTTTTATTTATATTTAATTTAGATTTTAGAGACACTATAAAACATTTTTCAAAAGAAAGTATAACTATTACTTTTTTAATCGTCATGATAATAAAAATCTATTTTTTTTTACGTGTATCAAATTAGGTTAGGTATAACAATTATCATATTACCGAATTCATACATTTAGTTTAGTTTACATATTTATATGAACGAATTAAAATTATATGAATAATTATATAAATTATGGTATGTATAATATACGATTGTTGTAAATGTCGTGTGATATAACATGTACCTTTAATTCTGTAATAAATTCTGTAATAATATTATACAATACGCTAATTTAAACATTTTATCATATAATATATAGATATACATTTTATTCTGCCGCAAAACCGAGTTCGAGAGTCGAGCATTTCATACACAACTTTATAGCGTCGGGTCTATTTTCTCGAAATGTTTTTAAATTTATGTTTCGCTAAACAATTTATATATTACATTTATATACAATTTGTGCGGGGTAACTAATATATTTAACTGGAGAAAATAAAAACATCTCTGATGCACAGAATTTCTCCGGAGATGAAATATTAACGCGATAAATTGTTGCCAAAACATGTTCAAAGCTTACGGACAGCTGCAGTAGAATAATATAAGTAATGTAAGTGATGTCACAGTACTAAAAACCAGAGAACCGAGATAGCACACGAGATTAAATTATATCATACTATTTTATTTACACAATATAATGTCATAATTATTGTTGTACAATATGTTATATGCCTTTTTAGGGCTTGATAAAATTATGGTTTAATGCATTATTTAGTGGACATTTGTTTATCCGAGAAGTTAAGTTATTTTTGGAATAATAATAGTTTCATTTTACTAGAAATATACATGCGCTGTGTTCTTTTGAGTCAATTGTTTGTATTTTTCTATAGTTAAGCCATAAAATTAATTTTTTTTACGAGTTTTCTTACCATAGTGGCTTAAATTTTTTTAATGACAACTTTAAACTTTTTTTAATTTTATAATTGGGACTATGATGTGTTAAATACATAGTAAAATGACATTGAACAGTTCTCAAAAGTTGTAATTTACTATATGATACCGTTCATTTGAACATAATATCATTATTTATCTATTATCCTTTGTTTACATCAATATTATTAAACTGGTATTCTCCTGCTACCGGTATTGAAATTAAATCTGTATATTGATGTAATAAAATAAATTTGAAAAAATAATATGTGTAATTACTACATAGTATAATTAGATATTTATTTGTAAAAGATAAATCGAATAAATAAATATAAATTAAGAACAAGTAATTTTTCAAAAATTGATTTGGAAAATAATAGTGTAATTAGTTAAAAAAGATTTAAAAGCTTTATAATTTTTTAAAGAAGAAGTAGAAATAATAACGAAACGTAATCGGAATACGACAAATAATCCAACATCTTGCTGTAGTGTACACCATTACTAAATCATCCATATAGAACCTGCATAATACCCATAATACGATGTATAAAATAATGCATTGTAATACAAAATACACGAAATTAATTTTACAAATATATCTATTTATATACAAACATCATAAATCACAATTATTTCGCGGGAAAAATAATAATCGTTCCGAGATAAAAAAAAAAATAACAAATTATGATAAAAAAGTGTTTTATTTATGTCTGCAAGCAGATTGGTATTTTTTACGTATACAATACGAAAAAATGCGTATCAAATGAATACACACACACACACACACACACACTAGAGAGTGGTAGAAATAAGAAACGTTTTTTATGATATGACACGTTCAGTGGCGATCGCATGAAAAAATAAAAACCTATGTGAGTGCCTAACCTTTGTACTCACGAATGATGTGTAAACATCTTAGCTGCAGTACGACTTTGATTGGGGAATACAATGTCATGGTTTGAGTGGGAATTTGTATAATAAGGTAACAATAATCATACAAGATCGCGTTCTCTTTAAAATTTATATTTAACTTTTTTATTTTTATTTATATATATTTATTTTTATTATTATATATAATTTATATATATTATAATTATTTATTATATATTATTAATTATGATATATTATTGTATATCGTCAGCCTATTTAGCAAACGGTATAATTTCAAAAAATTCAAATTTCATTGTTTCATGTCATTCGATGGAAAAAAAATGCGCGTTGATTGGTATCATAATCATAATATTTAAGTGTGTTTTCTTTTATGAACCCGGTGTTAATTGATACGTATTAGTCGTAACTCCGATAAACAAATAATATAATTTCTATAGAAACCGGCGTATCTCAATATATATAATATTATATATTATATTATATTATATTATTATTTTATATTATATTATGTATGTCGGGTAGCCTTCGCGAATACCGTACGCAATAGCCTCACACACACACACTCAAGCAATCACATCTACATGACTTACGCCTGACGCTCGATTCCCCAAGACGGTCGTACTACAAACCGATAGCATAGATGTTTACACATCAAAAACCGTCCGTTTCTTTTTTAAACTCTTCAAGTCGACTGTCTGCACTCCGTTACGAAAACGTCGTCGTCGTATCACGAACACCACACGTACTACCATCACGTTCGAACGGGCATCGCAGAGTAATCCGCTCCCGAATTAATCCTGGGGATGGTAAAACTCGATCGCGCGAACACTGCAATCCGCGAGACGTTCGATCGTTGTTCGCATTATTACGACGATGGCATTTGACGGTGTAAACATAATGTTTTAGTATGAATAGTATGATGGGTACATTATTTTATTACAGTAGCGGTGTGCGTGTCGTTTAATTCATTCGTCGGTAATCGATAAGATACTTATTGCGTACCGTCGCTGTGTTCGCGGTAACGAATCGATTTCAATGTATATATAAATAAATATACGTACGTTGTGTGTGTTTGGAACAGAAACTAAAGTTTGTTACCTAATTTAACTTGTGCTTCCGAGCAGATATCCTAAATTGAAAACACAATCTCGAAAATAATAAATTATATTATTAAACTGCGAAAGTTGGGCGACCGACTCGTTTCGACGCTGTGTGGTATTGGATTTGCATACCTAGTGTGCCGGCTTAAATGTATTACAGAAAAACAGCGTGACATCCCGATATCACGCGCGTATATTTTAATATTATAATACTGTACGCATTGGAAAGTCTGATCTGTGGCAGGGTCCAGGGGTCCGAAACTCTCAGAATTAAAAAGTAGACAATTTTATCGTTAGATATGATGTATATTGAATCAAGTATAATTAATTGTATAATTTCGTTAAAATGTTAAAACAAGTTTACGCAGCTTTGACGAATTTTATAGTTCATTAAATTTATTTCAAATTTAAATTATCTCGGATTGTGTGCCTGAAGAAATGTCAAGCTATCTACGCCTATTTATTGTATTATATTAAAATACATTTTACGCTAGATTTTGCCAGTTAAAGAAAATTGTTTTGAGTGAGTTCGTAGATTAAGTCAACGTTATAAGTTAGTAGTTAAAAGTCTATATATTTAATTCTTTATGTTAAAATTTAATATAGAAAAAAAAATATTCACTTTGCTTTAAAAGTTACTCAACTTAACTCACACATTTTTTAAAACAAAAATCAAACACTTTGTTGAAAATGTATTGTACTATAGCATACTGCTTATTACACATAAACTATAGTGAGTTTGAAAATTATATGTTTGAGATAACTAAATTATTAAGTCAAGGAATGTATATAATAAATAATATTAATTATGAAGTTATATTAGATTACTATAATAAATTTTATTATATGACCTTGGTGGAAATTAATAAAAATTGTTATTTTTTTTTAAATTAAAATGTTTTCATAAATCATAACCTGTGAAGGAAAAATGAAAATATCGAATTATCACTATTTTAATAAGTCGACAATGTACCCGATAAATTGTATATTTTGCAATCAAAGCTATATTATAATTTTCAGTTCATAAATTCGTTAATGCCCTTACAGCGTAGTAAAAGGGTATCTTATATTATTATATAATATTTATATGTTGTTGGTATTCTACAGTACGCTGGTTGATGCGATCTTTCGAAATAAGTACGATACACAATAATCACTGCAGACGCTCCCGCGGGTAGTATTATATTATGAACTCGCAAACATTTCTTCTACTCTTGTTATATTTCACAATAGCGTCAGTGTATGTACATTATATCCGAACCGGAAGCATATAATACGACGAAATGTATTATCGTACGTAGTATGCACTACGCCTTAAGTATAGCATCTAGGTTACGGGATTACCACGCGAAAAACCATTTTCCGTTGAAATGTATCAAAGAATCATCATGCACCACGTAGGCCATTTACGAAATGCAAACCTAAATAATAAATAAAATATATATGCATTTAGGATTTGGGTTGGAATACCAACCACGGATGAAGTATTCGCTATCTCTATCTCTTTTTTATCTGTCTCGTACGCTCTCTATATTCGTCA